CAGCGTTCCGAGCGTCTTTCAGCGTAAGCGAATAGGATAGTATAGATATCGGCCAAGCGAATGGCAGCGTCTACCTACCAGCGTCTATCAGCGTCTACCGGCAATCAGCAGTAGAGTAGTATGAGGATCTAATAGGGTGGAGACAGCTTGAGTAGGCGTGGTGAAATTGTGCGACCGCACTACTACACAATACCGTACACTTGTTCATGAGCCGGTCAGCCTCACCATGTCAAACATGTGAGTGCTGATATAGGCTAGGTATAACAAGCCTTCGAGCTGATGATGGTAAAAGCGCCCTGAGCGTAACCGGATAGCGCACTCGCCCGGAAAGCGTGAGGTGCGGGTTCGACTCCCGCCTGGGGTCGACTTTTGCCATAACTCAGCATCTTGTGGTAACATTCAGAGCGCGAATTGCGACGCAAAACAGCAGTTATCATAATATGCAGTTGAGTACTGTGAACATAGGCTTAGTTGTCAGCAGCCCTGTTGCTAGACGTGTCATAAAGTCCACTTTAAACTACTTCACCGCTGCCTCATCTGTGGCGCTCTTTGATTTCACAGTGCAACTTCACCTACCTCCACTCTTCCCTCAACCACACGTTGAGCAGTGGGATCGGAAGAAGTGAGACAGGCGGAGGAACAGAACATCTGGAATCCATAGTGAGCCCGAAAATTCGCTTTATCATACAGATTAACGGAACTCTCACTTATCCCTCTTAATTCCCCTCTCCAGCAGCCGGTCCATGATACCCTTGGGAGGTTCTTAAGCTACACCGTACCCTGTTCACAGCTGATAAGTGTTTCATCAGCCAGAGAAGCTGGAACTGTTTGCCGTTACCGCCCTTTTCTTTACAAACTGGGTCAGAATATCGATTTGACTAGAAGTACAATCATGATCCCTGCAACCAAGGACTGTGGCGGAGGGTGGCTTGAAGCACTGTCGGGGCAAGTTTCCCATCAATCGTAGCGAGCTCACAATGGCATCATTGGTCGCTCTGGCTGCACTCCATTTCATACCGCAACAAACAAACAAAATCAATCATACCCTATCGTTCGCAGAGAGCATAACTGGTTGAACCCCTTAATGCGAGTGTATCATTCGTTTGGCGAGACATCCATTCAGTATGGGACGTTTTCCTCAAAGCTGGTGCCGGCACCTTTCCGCTGGTGCTAGAAAGTTGCATTCCTTGTGGGCGTTACTTTTGAATTCGGAAGACCTAAACACTGTTAACTGGTGCGTTCTAACCCTTCTGTGTTCAGACGTTACTTAGATTCCGCCTACCTGCTTTAACTAAAGCACGCCTTTGCAACTAATAAAGTTACTTCTGACTTCACTTTCAGGTGGATGGATGTGTTCTAATGCTAGCTCCCTGGGCTATTTTATCTATAAAGAACGTAATATTCGCGCTAGAAGGGTCAAGCTATCCTGGACACGAACTCCAAATCTGTCGCAAATTTCGCTAAAATCTAGCCTGAATTTGCTTGCATGCGCTGCTATGTTCTAACACAAGCTACGGTCTGAGGATGTCCACATTTATTCGACCCTATTTCATTATTAACTCTTTGCTTCTATGAGCCTGGCCTACATCATTTCGTTTCGGCTTTTAGCTATTTGACTATTGGTTCTTTTTCTGGCACACTCATATAGTGTATATTAAATAAACAATAAATAAATAAATTTGAAAAAAGTAGGGTGCAAAGAAGTGAACAGGGCCAACAACATCTTTTCCTATGGGTCAATACTTTTGGTTCAAGCACTGTTCATTTAAGCCGACCTCGGATGGCTCTGCTGCCGCTGTGCTTTGCTCTGAGCTATTTCTCGAGCAAAATCCACATCTGAAGCCTCAAGCAGTGTAAATCGTTGGTTAGTACATTCCCTCATTCCATCGCAAGTGGGATTTAATTAATGTTCTATTTCGTCTGAAGGACTCGAGCTCGGAACTGATCAGCCATCGGTTTTTTAAGGCAGTTGGCACGATAAATCCCCCAAGACGACTAGGATCAATACTCCTGGCAGGATGGAATTCCGCGACCCTGAGCAGGCGCTGCATAGCGGTTTCCCCGAGGAAGGTGCCCTTATAAGGGCCCAAGCCACAACTTTACGTCCCAAACGCCCGCCACGCCCGCCCGCCCACAAATGGACGACCGTTCCTGACGCTCGTATTCATTCATTTGCTAAGCAAATTATGAAGCGAAGGGATTGGTATGAAGCGGCCGTGATGCTGCATGCATACATGGGTACACATATGCAGCCGTATCTTCGGTAGCGGTGATTGGTAAGATGCCTACGGGAAACTCGTCCGAAATCGATTTAAGTCACTGAGAACGGAGGCTTTTTCTTCGCAGGATTTTGACCGTTTCACTCCGTTCTTTCGCCATTTCCCCACTACAGCGCCCTACTAGCATTTTAGGCTAAGTAGGAAACCATCGTGCCAACTGCCTTTAAGGGGGACAGCAACATCAACATGATCGGCTTTGATATTATTATGAAGATATCATCAGATTTGTACAAAAAGGCCGGCATTTGTCCTAATAATGCACAGGTTTGTAGCACCTGCCATTTATGAAACAAATACGAACGGCGCACATAGTTCGCTTGGTGGGGTCACCAGACGATATCAGCTAAGTTTGCACAGGTCATATCGTGAAGACTTGTAAATTGCTGTGGCTGACTCGATCAATTTCGCAGCTTCACAGGAATTTACAAGTCTGAGCAAGTGATACCTGTCAGAAAAGAAGAAAAGGAACCTGCAGAAGTGCAAAATGCTCCAACCCCTTCCAAGCCGAACGGCGCTCATATTACTTTGCTGCTCTCGGTGGATGTAGAAGGCATGGTGCGTTCTAAAGACTATGGATAACTTTTATTTTGTTTGGCAGAGATCTAGGCCCATCTCCGGCTGAAGGCATATTTTTTGAGGTTATCGAACTTCACGATTGCTTTGCACCAATCGAACTTATCACCTATGAGGTTATTGGACTATGTGAAGTTGGTATGTATCTGAAAGTTCGACCTGTCCCACGAAGGCTGTGGCGACAAAGGTCTGTCATTCCAAGAAAAGGTAGCACAATCGTTGATCGAAGAGACAATACCTATGGAGAAAAATGGGTGCTCAATTCCATCAGCTGGACTGATTTCAAAGGGACATCCAGTCGGTGCTACAGGTAACTTCAGAAGCAGGTTTCCCCTCCATTCTCAGAGATCCGATAGAGCTTAATGATTTTGACGGGGGGGGGACAGGTGGTCGAACTGTCCAACCAGCTACGAGAAAAATGAGGCAAGTGTCAGAATCCAAACTGCAAAATCGCACTGCAACACAACATAGGTCAGTTGCACTGCAAATTGTGATGCTGGACACCTTGGAAACTCCAGTCCAAGTCTAGTTATCCACCTGCCCCGGCATTGTGAACATCGTGCACCTTCAAGACTGCAATCATATTGATTGTACAGACAAAAAGACACTTCGGCCGAGTCACGTATTAGTAAAGTTTACGCAGCCCAGATAGAAGACGTGGATACGAGTACCAGGGCGGAAGATACCCAAGATGTTCCTCGATAAGCAGGAGGCTCTCGCCCATCACCTTCATGTACACCAAAATATGAAGTCATCTCCAGTCGCAGCCTGACTGGAGAAGGCCTTGGAATTCACGTCACCTCCAAACAGCTGCGAAACTTCTTGTATGGAGTCACCCATGGACAGCTACCTGGAGACCGGCACTCTTGATCTGGAGGACCTCCAACATCGAGCAGCTCCGACAACGTCGCTATGGTTCAGGATATCATCTTTACTCCAGGGCGCGGGTTGATGGTATGGGCCGGATGTTCCTGGAATGGGAGGATTGAGAATTAATCGTGGACCCCAGACTGAAAGTGAGCACCGATGGCTACATTGACCAACTCTAGGAGAATATCCTGCCTTCATGTCGTCGCCCGTGCCATCATGGAAACTTAGTACCGCTACAGGATCGGGTACCAGCACATAAAATCGAAAACTCCCGCCTACTTGGCATGGAAGGGCGTTTGATACCTGAATAGCCAAGCGTGTCACCTGAGCTACCCCCCTCCCGGGAGGAACTCAACAGGGTGGTCTACATTGGCGGAAAAATCAACGACCTCGCTGAACTCAACCAAATCACGGTCGCGTGGCAGAATCTCTCGATGGCCTTCGTCCAGAAGGCTGTGGCGGAGTTTTGTGATCTTATGCAATGTGTTAAT